CCCCCGAGACCAGTCCTGCCGACTGGGGGGGTGGGGAGCAGGGGGGAAGGCCACAGGAGATCCTGCAGACCAGTGTGGGGGGTCTCCCCCTAGTGATCCCATGATGGCCAATTGCTGCAACCGCTTCCAGGAGTGGCTGCAGCTGTTTCTGGGAGCAAGTACCCGCTAATCACAGAAGCAGCTGCAGCAATCACCCAGCACTTGCAGGGGTGGACACTGGCACTCCTGCCTGGCCCCCCTGCCCATCGCTTAAGCAGCAAGCACAGCCAGTCAGGGGGTGCACTGGCACTCTCAGGGGCTGCGCATGTACCCCTTACATGTCACCACTGTATAGTACGTTTTCTTATCAGTAGGGAGCAGAAAGAAATCTCTTGGGACACAGTGGGGCCTGTCACTATCGCTGGAAATATGCGATGTCGGTATTCATTGGTAATTAGGGAAAGTATCACAAAAGAACTTAAATTACCTGGGATGGAAAAATACTCTATGTGCAGTAACTGGCAATGTAAGGTAGTATTTCTTGGATGTTTTCTTGGGTTTTTCTTAGCAATTAAATTTCTAAAATGTTAGCATGCTATGTAGCTTAAAAGATGCTTGCTTATGTAAATAAAGAGCCATCCCTGTCCTGCTTTAGATGTCCTCTGTGACCTTGGACGTGGTTAGGTTTCCAAAGGTATTTGGTACTCAGTGGGATTTTCAAAAATGCCTGAATGCCAGTTTGATTGAGCCCCCTTAAAAATCCCATTCAGCATCTTGACATACCTAAATGCCTTTTGAAGATTTGTCCCTAAGTCCATGTCTCCATTTCCTCTCTGTAGAATAGTACTCTCTCTCACAGGGTATTGTGAGGATAAATGTGGTAAAACATACCCTATTTACTCAAATACAAGTTGAGGTATTTTCACCCAATCAGCATAGGGGGGAAACACCCTTCCTCTAATATTTACATACAAGGAAATCTCATTAAATACAGTACTTATCATTATACTGCTGGCAAAAGCAACATGTGCTCAGTAATAGAAACCACCTATGAAGTTAATAAAATACAGCCAACATTGAGCATAACTGTAAAATACATGGCAAACATATTGATAGAAATCTGCCACAAAGATAGGTTAGTGCAGCCTATCTGAATAAAATTATATGCTAGTGCCCATTGCACTCAGTCTACCTCAGCAACAACTCTTTTCCAAGTCATTGTGAGCCATTACAGTGAATACATTTTGACTTCCTCTTCACTCCCATAGCTGAGCTGTGACTTGCTTTCCATTTTCTGGCAAACATCACCAAATGGGGCCCCGAACAGTTCACTCGGAATCCCTCTATTGTGCCCTTTTGTGGCCTGTTATATGAATAGTGGGGCCCTGCCATTCATGAGGCAGAGCTGGACCAAGTTGCCCTGCGCCTCATCTGCATATGTGTTTTTGGAGGATCTCAGGACTAGTGACAAGAACACTTGGTTCCAGTCATGTGTGGGGGCTATTTTCCCTGCTGTAGCAGTGGGTGGGGGACAAATTCAAAGAAAACCTCCAATAATTAAATTCTGTATCTAGAAAATTATGTAAAATGTATACATTTGTTCTATATAGGATCTAAGTATTGGGATGGGGGGGTCATCTTCCAGCAGAAGAGGAAGGAATGCTGTACAGACCACTGTCTCTCTGTCTTACATGCTTTGTTATTCAACACACTACAGTTCTACACTATTTCCTTATTGTTCTTCCAAATTTTGCTCCTGCAGTTTCTCCTGCTTCCCCTTTTCTGCTTTACATGCTTAGTTCTCCTTGAGTTTGTGTGCAAGAACCAACTAGCACAGAACAGCTTTGCTTTCTATCTATGTAGCTATCACATGCCGTTTTAGAGGCTGGGCTGATATTTTGAACATTTGTCCCAGTTATTTAAGATTCTATTTTTGCTTCATCTGCATGTTTTACTGGGGGGAAAAAAGTGTGACAAACCCAGTTCTCTGTGCACACTTTTATTCTATTCTGTCTTTCTCTTTGCAGACAGGAAGCCCAATTTCCTACTCTTGTTTATATAATTTCAGTATTCTTTAAAGCCACCCACATAAGCGATTTACTGAGCCATGCATAATGTGGTCACTGAATGATTCTGAAATGCACATGTATCATGTGAAGATAATTGTCTACATAACTACGCTTCCTAGCAAGAGGCTTATCTAGAGACAGTGTGTGTAGGTTGCAATAACTCTTGGAGTTGCTTTTTGCACTTTGTTCTTCTCTCCACTCATTTTGGTAGATCCATTTTCTGCATTTCTATTTTAAAAAGACTTTTCTTTTGTTAGTTTCATTATATATATTAATTATACTTCTGCTAAGGCTCAGTTAACTTAATACATACGAAATATTATTGTACTCTTCAACCAAGGGAAAATTACAGATGTATTTTAAAAACATTCAAATAACTTCCTTTTGTGCTTTTAAATGATTAGTTGCTGCTCACTAGGAAAGTTGCAGTGTACTTTGTACAGCGTTTGCTTGTGTGTGCCTACATTTTCAGGGAAAGTAAGTGTCACCCAAAAAGCTTCAACCATGGTTTGTTTTGGCTGCAGACTTCTAGAAGGGCACACTTTTTTGAGGCATAGAAAGAGGAGAATGTAGGTCCTTTAAATTTGTATAACAGTATCCCTGTAATTAAAACTAACTTTTAAAGTGATTGTTTCACTTCTGTTGAGTGAGTTAGCTTTATTCCACATTATATTTTGTGGTGGAGGTGAACTTCCTCATATTCCTGAGTATCAAAGCATCTCTTGATTCATCAAGCCTCACAAGTTGTTGATCCTGATGTTTCCTGTTCTTTCTATTCTGAGACTTAACTTTTTTTCTCTCCATGCTCTTGCATCCTTTCTCCTATATAACCTCCTTACTTCTTTCTAAGACAGCCATGAACCCAGTGCTTTACTGGATGTCTGGGAACAGGAGAACAACCTTTGCCATTGAAGAATTGTCACCATTAAAAATGTGCTACTACTCTTGCCACTGGAATTGAAAGGCCAAATTCTTACCTCATTCACAGTAGCATAAATCCAGTGGAACCCTATGTGCCTCAAATCAGTAACACATTTGATCTCAGTAGGGTCCTGTACCTGGAGACATTTGGTGAGGCCTGAACCTGCATCTTCTGAAGTACTCTACCATCTTGTTGATCCCATCAGTAATAGATCTCATCAATAATAATATCACCATTGATTAGGAGACATGAGAAAATGGTGATTATATAATTCTACATTTAGTAACCATTTTTGCAGTTATAGTTAACTAGATTGGCATTGTATCATCTTTTTGGGGAGTTCAGTATGTAATCAGTATACTGTGTACAAAATGGTCCAGCGTGTCCCATACAACTCTCTTATGTAACTGGAAATCTGTTTTTGATTGACATACTTCAACAAGTTTAGTTGCATGAAGGACTCTCTAGGACCATAAGTTAGCTCTGTACCTGTCATCATACCACATGTTCAGGGGCTGGACCAGAGTATTCATTTGTAACCACACTCCAGATATTCCATTTCTTTTGCTTTGTAAATCATTCAACTAAAGTATACTGTTAAAAGGCAAAAGTAGTTCCAGATTGCAGAAAAAAAATCTGTTCTTTGACCTCAAACCATTATAGTGACTGGTTATCAATATTTATGTGGACAATATGGATACTATATCTGCTAAAGGTCACAGTGCAAACATATTCTTGAGAAGAGTCTCCAGATAATATTTTTTCTGTGAAAATAAAAAGAAAAAAACATGTTAATTAATGGCTCACATAGTCCTACCTTTTTCATATTAATTCAAATGAAACAGTACCTATTGCCTTAGATTAACACTTTAATTTTAAATGATAAAATCTTAGTCTAAACAAGTTTTGGAAATGCGAAGGATAATTTGGTATCTCGTTAACATTTAGTTTAAATTGGTAATCCAAGGTATTAACAAGGGGCCAAGGCATATACAAGCCATATATTCTGCAGCATCTGCTGCTCCCTTCTCCTGCAACCTCTGACTGACTTAAAATATGAATTAACAGTTATTGAAAATATTCTTATATCTGTTAAATTTCATTCATGGAATAAACTTTCTGATTACCCATTGGGGTCCTGCTCTTTTAGCAGAAGCCAACATGCTTTATTTGAAGTCATTAAGGAAACTATCATAATTTGGGGTAACAGAATGACAAAAGCATCCCTTGGCAAAACATAGAAGCCAAAATAAACCAAACACACAAGTGTAGCACCAGATACAGATTAAACATTTGGTTAAACAGTGAACTTGTGTTTCTGGGTGATGAATTGGCAAGCCTCTCCCACAGCCAGATTCCAACTTCGGGCATTATTTGGAAAATCTTAAAGATGTTGGAAAAGTTGTGCAGCACTGTTTGGATTTAAAATCCTGTTTAAAAATCAAGTTTAGTATAAGAATTTCATCCAAATTGAATAAACAGTGTATAATTATAGCACAGTATATCTTTTCATTAGCTTCCAAGTACAAAATCTGTCTATCAGTTCTCCCAAAGACCATTCCCTTTTTGCAGGATTTCTGTTTTAAAAGTGCATTTCATAATACTGCATTTTCTTGTCTGAGCTCCCTATTAATGCAGTTACTAGTATAATACGTTGTTATCCTCAGATGAGAGAGTTTGAGTATAACTTAACAAACTGAAAATAAGTAAAGCAATTATCCGTGCATGGATCTGTAAAAACAAACAAATGGTACAATATCCAAATAATAAAACTAACAAATAAGCTGGAATGAGAACTTATGTAACTTTAACTATTTTTTAAAAATAATTTTGTATAAGCATGCAAAAGTTATTGAGGGTAACATAGTATATGCCCTGTTATAAGTGATTTTATACTAATGTTGCTGATACTGAGACGTGAAAAACTGTCAGTAAGGCCATAAAAAGTTCTGGTTTCCTTAATGAACTAACTGACCCCCATCTTGCAGAGAGTTCAAAGATCAACTACATGAGTTTTTGATGGAATAATCAAGAGCTTTAAACAAAATTTCAGCAGCAGAAAATATGAAAAGCAAAACTGAGTTAGGGCTTTGCAGATCGTGAGCAGGATATCAACTGGTATAAGAACTCTTGTCTGGAAAAGCACGGTTAACCTCTTCCACCCAGCAAATTCTAGTACAATGGGCTGGATTCATTCTTGGTGCTGTACTCATATGATGAATGATTCCTAGTAGAGTCAATGTCTCTGAAAAGAGCATTGCTAATGAAATGGGTGTGCCTCATAGCAACTGGAAGATGTTCTTGATGTCATAAAGGAAAAAAAAACAGCAGTTCAAGCTTCCTTCATGTTTTCTAATCTAGTATTGTCTCAGTCTAGCTCTGAATGAACTGCTCTGAAGCAAAGAAATGGTAGTGCAATATCCATATCCATCAAAAAAGCAGATTAATGCGGTTGATGATTGGGGCATCTGTCCACCACTAGAGAATGAATTAAGACCAGGAAGCAGCTGTTGGGCATTAAGGCCTTTAACAACCTAAGTAACTCTTCAGCAGGTCACTTAGGGAAAGGGCTCTCTCTCTCTTTTATTAGGTCTTTGGGCCATGCCATTTCCTGTATCACGTCTTAAGGCAAGATAGCCTGTTACCTAGCAATCTTTCCAAAGAAGGAATCAATCTCTCTCTACCGCTTCCCAAAATGAGTTATTTTTATATTGTTTTACACCCACATTGAAGAAATGCACTTCATTCTACTTCAGATTCCCAGAATCTCAGAATTGGGTCTGTTATACTCGAGACTGAAAGTTTAAAAGATGAGGTCTCTTCTATTGAATAAGTAGCACTCTCAGTATAGTTAAGTATAGTTTTCAGCATTTTGAGTACATTTTGGCATCTGTGAGGATTTAAAGGGAAGTTGAAAATGAATGCTCTCAGTGAAATTCTTGAGTCTTTTCAGGGTTTCAGGAATCTTCCCTTTTGTGTGTGTGTAAAATTCCATTAAAGTTATTACATTTTAATCAAGTATACTGATGAACAATCCATATATGTTTTCATCAGATCCAAAAGAGCTTACACATAACACCTGGAATTCTTCCAATTAAGATATTGGCAAAATATATCAAGAGAGGGAGTTTTGCATGTTATGTAAAAATATAATTAGGGATATGTTAAAAATGTACATGGACCAAGTTAAAAACAGTAAAAATTAAACAGCCTTTAGGAGGTGGCCTTTCATGAAGTAAGGCCCAAGCTCTGCATGTTCTGTATGTGTGTATTTGCATTGGTAATTGTCACAGCTTCATGGCAAATCAAGCTGTGAAGCTTTGAAACACCCACATGTCTGCCTAAAATATCTAGTGTGTACACACACACACACACACGACGCTACAGGTTATGTACATGCAAAAAAGTATAGAAACTTCCAAAAATCTTTCTAATTTTTTTTAAATGCTCTTTTATGTTGTGCAGTAAGAAGCATATAAAAGAAATTGTAAGCGTCTGTAATATCTGTTTAAGTTTCTAAACAGGTAATTTTCAATGTTTTCAGACCGAAAGCACTCCTCAAAGTTCCAGCTCTTAGTTTTCACTTACTTTTTAACTCTATAAAAATAATAGAGCAATTCTTCTATTGCAAAGAATTTGGAAAGACCACAGCAGGTCAGAATGTTTTAGATGCTGGGATTCCTATTTGAAATCTGAGTTTATCCTGTGAATTGTGTTTGCACATCTAGCAATGCTAATGTTGCATAGCATCCTTGGGTGCCATAGCACTATGGTTGAGAATCTCACTATTCCCTTAAATATATTCGTAACATCTTTACGTTAGGACAGATATTTGAAAACTTGTTTCACTGTTATTTATGTCAAGTTGTGAGTGCAGAGCTTAATTTCTTTGCATTGCTATTGATTGTCTCATTTAAAGTAACAGCAGTACACCCTCTAAGTTTTCTATAGGCAGATTTAACATTGCAGGAGAAACGCAACATCTTAAATTTGTGAGTCAGGAGGAGGAAATAAAATTAAAATATTTTGTTTTAGTCATTAAAACTGGAATCACTTTTGTGAAGATCTGTTCTGTAAACATTAGAGATCTTTACTACATGTTTTAAACAAAGCTTCATAATTCATCTTTCAGTTCAAGAGAATTTGTTCTCATTTTATGCTGTTAAGAGGGATATTTTAATGTGGTTATGAAAAGTTCCTTGGGGTATATGTGCATAATAATACTTCATACTTTTAAAGGAAATCATCTGTGAATCCCATTAGTTATCATTTTTCAATTTTCATGTTTTTAAGCATGAGTTAACTTCAAGTGTTGTAATACTTCAGTCTAATTAAAGAACCACCCTTAGTTCCAGTCAGAAAACCAACCTATTGTAGATTGTTTGATTTACATTTCAGAGATTAACAAATTAAAAATTTAAAGACTGTATTCATTTTAATATAAAAGAGCAGTAGAAATACAGAGGGCAAAATGTAGTCATATATCAAACATATGATATCCTCTCATACTAGTAGGTGCTGGATCAACTCTGCCTTTGATGGACAGGATGACAAAGTTTGGTCCTGCTCAAAATATTATAGGATGCTATTTACTGCTCTTTTCAAGAAAGTACTTCTTAAAATCAGTGCTAACTTAGAGATGCTGTGGATGAGTTTTTAGTACTAACAGCTCTTCCACCCTGTAGGCACTTCCAAACGAAAAAGATAATTAGAACTGAACAGCCACTTCAAACCAGTATCTGTGCTTCTTTTTGTTTAGCCACACATAGCTAGAAAGGGCATAATAATCACACCGGTTCACCAGCTGCAGAGATAAAGGCTTGATTTGCTCTCTATCCATATCTTGTTCATCTTCTACCATCTTTGATTAAAGGAGACAATTAAGTGGACCTTTAATTTCAGTGTTTAAAATTTTGGTTGCTCTCAAGATATGCTGGGGATTGTACTTCTGTAATTGAAACATACGCAATATGAAAGAAAAGAAAATAGTAATATAGAAGCTGAAACTCCTCTCCCCATGACCTACAGAAGGTGATTTGGGGTGCTCTCTCCCAGTGTGTAAATGTGGTGTTCCTGAGTTATTTTCCCAAAACATAAGGCTCTGTAGGCAAGCAGTCAGATCTGAAGGAGTTCATAGGGCAACTACATGAAAAATCATACCAAGTACTAACCAGTTCTCTAGCACTAGGGAACTCTGCTAGGGAAAATGGAAACTAAAATCATAGCCTAGAATAGAGTCAGTGGGAAAAAAATTGAGAGTGAAGAGTATATGAACTTGTACTGAGGAAAAATGTAGGATATTTAGAATATCTGAAGAACTGAATTGGAGAATGCATATGTGCATAGTATGGAATAGAGTTTTCACAGGATGTGGAAGCAACTGGTTGTTGGGTTTGTTTGCAAGGATGGAAGCCATCTGGTTCTGAAACATAGACAGCCAGTGCATATAGGGATTGTATAATGGAAAGAACAAAAAGCTTGGGAGATAAGTCTTTGATAAAGCAGATTCAGTTGTCATTTGAGAAGCAACTTGAAATGAGTTTCAAAGAACAAGATGCTGAGATATGTATGAAAGAAAAAGAACATTAGCTAGCAAAAGGGATTCTGCAGGAGAGAGGATTTGGTGGATTCTTGTATTCTGCCAAGTTCTGAATTCTGTCTATGGGTGCATGAGAATGGTAGCCTGAGGAGTATGAGAATGACTGGGTCATTCTGAAGCACATAAAGGTAAAAGTTCAATTAAATGCCTTTTTCTTTTTTAAAT